CAGGCTTTGAGCAGAAGGAGTATTTTTATGATGCTGTATCTGTCTTTATCTGCTCCTCCTCCATCATAAAATAGCAAGGTAAATTCATTTTTACAATGATGTCACGTATTTTTTTTGAAATCAGAAAACTGCAGTCTTTTAGAGGGGATGAGAAGTGGCGATAGTAACAGTTCTGCTTGGAAAAAAATGCAAGTGAGGGTGGACTCAAGCTATGACTACTGCTACAGAATCTCTTTCTGCTTCCTTGCAGGCAAGAGGAAATGAAAAAAGAATAGGAGAAACAAGGACAGTTCTGTCTGTGGGTTGTTTTTTTCAATTGTTTGCAAACTGGAAAAGACTGCCAAAGTAGCACAAACTCTTCACAGGTTCTGAGCCCTGACAAGTTAAAGTAACTGTTAAATGTCTGCCTCTGTGCTCAGACACATGTATTTTTATCAAGGAGGTTAGGTTTAATTGGAAAAAAATAAAACCAGTAAAGGAAAAAGACAGGAAGGCCCTAGATCGTGAAATTTTGTATTCCAGGTCACTAAGCCTCTCAGATCTGTAAGCACAGGGTAGTGGCACCAGGGTCCGCTCAGTCCAGCATGGTCAAGGCAGCCCTTCCAGATGGAGTGGGCAAAGGCTCAGTGGTGGAAAAATGATGAGGGTGAGACAGTGGTGACAGTGAAGTGTGTTTCCTTTGGTCATTTTTCCTGCTAGCATAACAATTTCCTCTCTGAGTGACATGAGGTTTGGGGTTCTGTGGGGTTTTTTTGGTTTGGGTTGTTTTTTTTTTTTTTTTGAGCCAAAATGCACACCAGGCAGAATTCATCAGCCATCTTACTCATTTAATCCAGACAGGCCTGGTTTCCCTACTCACCATTTTTGGTCCATTAAGCTCCCGTTCTATTCCCTTGTAGTTATTGCTCAAGTTAATAGCATACTCAACCCTCATCAAGGGCTAATTTAGGCAGTTTTTGTGGATTTCTCCAAACCCTGTCTTGGAAGAGGTGAAATAGTCACAGCATCTAAATGCAGCACAGAGGAGGTGTGTGTACTCACCCAGGATAGCGTAGTAAGGAATTGCACAAGGAGTTTTCTCTTACCAGATGCAACAGCCTTAGTGCTGGGCTAGTGCTTTCTTTGGGATAAGGCAGCAGAGCAACTGCTTTGGCACTAAATAAGGATTTTGGCTAAAACAAACACATTCTTCCTGTGAAGTCGCTGCAATGAACTGGCATTTGTCCAATAAACTATTTAGTCAGACTATCCTGGTCCACATCTAGTTTAGCAGTACAAAGCCAAGTTTTTTCAGAACCGGACAGGTACATGAGACGTTTGTATTTACATAGGTGTGAACATACTTTTATATTGCTGGCATCTTCCATTTCTGCGTGTTGCCTTTCCAATCATAGGTGCACCTGCATAGGCCTAATGTTCCTGTTTAGAAAAAGGCCATTATTACTTCATTTCATCGAAAGAAGACTGAATGCACTTAAAAATACAGAGCATTAAAAATGGATTAACACAGTAGATGCTGGTATCTGAGCACGCTTTCCTATCCATTACTCATGGAAGCTATTACGACCAACTTGGATGAAAGGTAAAGTCATAATGAACTTGACATTAACTGCAGTGCATTAGATATTATGTCTAGTAAATTCCACCACGTTTCCTTAGAAGAATGTGAAGGTCTTGAACATTACACACTCTATAGGGCACAGAGTCAGAGATCAAGATTTCCCTTCCTGCAGATGCTGTTAAAAAAACAGATCCAGAATGCCTCTGTGGTTGAGATAGATTAGCAGATTGCCATGAAGCAAATGCTTACTTCTCTTATTGACAGAGGAACTCCCTTTGGTTTCTGAGTATCTTGCAACTAAGCTTCAACCCTGTTGTTTTTGTGACAAATACGAGCAAGCAGGATGTGGCCAGAGAGGTGATAGTGTGCAGTATTTTTCAGAGCTGCATCTTAAATTACAGGATGATCATGAGAACGTTTAGTTTATCATCAATTACGCTAGCTATGTCTTCTAGTAATGAAAAAAGCTATCGCTACCCTTTATAAATGACAGAAGATTTTTTGCCTTCTTGGTGCTATATGACACATCGTGTCCCTCATTAAAAACCAGCCAGCTCTGAGACCCACAAGACAGAGAAACTACCCTGAGGTCCTGGACTAGTTAATCTTTCTGAATAGCCCCCCATAGGAATAAAGATGCAACATACAGTGCACAGTTTAATTAGTTTATTTTTTTAAATCCTGTCAGAAATATAGCTGTGCATTAATTACAAAATATATTAAACAATCTATCGATACTTCCAAGGGAACAGGAGTACTTTCATTCTGTTCAAATGCAAACCAATACAAACCTTTCACTGACCCCAGAATAATCTTTTGGATCCATCATCAATATATTTGATGCGAAAGCATCTCTAAATAAGAACAGAAAGGCCACCCTGATTTTATTTCATTAGCAAGTTTAATCCCTTGATAGCAAACATGACCAGGCATATCATGAGACCATTTAAAAAACAAGTCTATACATCTCACATTGTCTGAGCTCCCACATACACATTACATACCAACTTTTTTAGTAAAATAATTTTTCCCTGCCCTGCAGGGGAAAACATTCAGAGGCAAAAAGAAAACACATTTGCAATATATTATAATAGGAAAATTTGTGCCATAGCAGCTTTGTAAAATGCACACAATAAGAGTGGCTGACTTAAAACGCATTCAAGAAAACAGAAATTTGGAAGATAAAAGCAGCTAAGCCACTTTCTAAACCACCTTGAGATCCAGTAATGCTGCAAAGCTTCAAGAATTACAGAACTAAAGAACCCCATTCCTGAAGAAATTACACAGGAAACTGGTTAAATCCCCGTATTTCTTCGTATTTGTTTTTGAGACAACTTTCAACACTGCATACCCTTCTGCTTCCATTTAAGTAGTTCTAGCAATTATACCTCAATCCACCATGGTAAAACAATTTCTCAAAAGAAAAGATCAGATTTGGAGGAAGGGGAAAAGAAAAGAGAGGCTGTTTCAGTGAAAAAATATTTTCACATTGAAACTGAATCTCTTCATGCTAACCTTAGAAAAGTTTGAATAAAAGATAAAGGTAATACTCATGAAGGCTATACATCGAGATGGTAACAATGTAGACTCGTAAGTTCTTCCATTAGCTGAAGATGATCTTATTTGTAAGAGAAAGCTCTGGAACTGCAGTTAAGAAGAAGAGTAGCTTGGAAGGTGGGGTAAGAAAGAGGAAAATGGAACAAGTAGATGAATAAACATTTCATTAACATTTATAATTTTTCATGACAGTAAGATTTAACTGATACTTAGCAAATTAGCTCTGAAAGTCTTTCATGTAAAACTCTGGCATTACAGTAATTTGGCATCACTCAGAGTTCTACCTGGTAATATTAAAATACAAAACCAGTAGAATAGCAGCAGTGAATAAAGCATTCATATTACTGTGGCCAATACAGTATTACACATGCAGTAGCTTTCTATTCCCTATAGGTTTGTGCTATTGTACAATATTAACCTGAATCATTTAAACTCCTGAACCTGCCACCAAATTGAATTGCCTCCCAAGGCAGAAGTATATCAGATCTAGCAGATAAGGCTCAAAGCAAAAATTCAGTCCATAATGCAAAGCTTCAAAAGGAAAGAAAGTATTAATGCACTTAGTGGGTCTTGGGTATAAACTATTAGAACACAGACTAAGGACATTTTGCTTAGTATCACTAGGGTTGAGGAAGGAACTGTGGCAGGAAGAAGCTGTCAAACTACAAGTGTTTTTTCTGCCCCCCCCGATAAACAAAAGAGAATGGTAGTCTTTGAGCATCCTGGAAAAAATGGATAATTAACATAGCTTGAAAATTACTGGAGAACTAGTGTACAGTGCCTTCTGTATACAGTGGGTCTGGGCACTGTCACATACATTAAAAGCTCTTGGTTAAGAATGGTTTATCTACTAGGAATGCTCTAACTGAAGACAATCTGAAACAATTCAGCTAACAGAATGAGGCTATTCAGTATAAAGACTACTTAGGTTTAGAAAGACAGTTGTAAAGTATGGATCTTTTCCTATTTTGAGTAATATGTGCTCACCTGTCCTCTAAACACATAGAATACACTAAATAAGTCAATGACTTCTTTACCATTAGCTGGGAAGTTCATGTTGCAGTAGTGACAATACTCCATTGAACACAACCCCTCTTCAACTAATAGGCTCTATCTGCAAAATAAATTTTACTTATCTGGATATGAGGAACAAAGTGGTAGGCTGGGTCCTGGAACTTTTAATCTCATGCAGGCAGGCAGAGTAGCCTCCCAAATCAATACACCATAGTAGGCTTTCATTAGTCTTTTATATATTAAGCATATGCACTTTCCCCACTGATGATCCCCATGGGATTGCTTTGATGAGGCCAAATAGTTGGAATCTTCAGCATCTTTTAAGTTGCAGCGTCTCAAGTCTTTGGGTTGTTTCAGTAGCTTGGAGAAATAATATACATATGCTGATGTATGGCTTAGTTCTTTTTTTGATATCAGACTCTGTACTTAAGTTATGAGGCGAACAAAACTTTTTCCTTCCCTCCTTTTAAAGACAAGATTCAGAACTTTATCAGCACCGTGGTTAAGTTAAAATTTTTAGCACCAGTGAACTCGAACTACTCAGCTTTGACTGGTCAAAATTAACATTTATATGGCATACATACAATCAGTACAGAAAACTATAATACATGCAACATTAGGAAGCTCACAAATTCTTGACATAGTGAATCTAGTGTTTGGTAAATGAGTAACTATGTAAGCCAGATTTTTTTCCTAAGAGCAAACAGGATTGCAATTTTTTCCTCACACTAATTAACAGGCTCTTCTTCCCCTCCAAAGTGTTGAGGGTAGCCCAGCTCCTATTGTCTAACGCGACAGCTGGATGTCGATATAGGTAGCTGTCCATTCACAGGAGATAACATAGGTCACTTAGAACACCAAGAGATCACAAGTTCAGCTTTGGTACAAATTCAGGTTTCAACAACAATAAAACAAACTCTGCCATCACCCTATCTAGTTAGTACATGCCTTTGCTCATGTATCCACTCACAACCTGAAAAATGCCCAGCACTAGGAGGAGATCCCACCAGCACAAAGGTATCTCATTCAAATGCTGCACTTTCAACCCTCTGGTGATGGTGATTGACATTCTGGGCCCAGAGCACAAAAAGATTTATCAAAATAAAGAGAATTAGGGGAGGCCCTTTCAGACCACATTACAAATATTTCTTCAGTGAATTCAGCTCAAGAGTCCTTTAGCCTTCTCCACAACACTACCACATGTCTTTCAGAAATACCAGTATCAACTCTACATCGACATGCAACTTCCTGAAGCTAACTCCACAGGAGGGAAGGGTCAAAGCATACCTCAACCCTTGGTGATGTGAGCAAAGTCTTAACCTGACTTCAGATTTCAAGACAAGCATAGCCAATTCAAAATTCTAGATAAGTCAATAGAGAAACTGTCTCAACTTTCCCAAGCTCTGTGAAAAACAAACAAACAAACAAACCTCATCTTTAACTTAGCAATTTCCCTGCTACAGTATCTATTCCAAGGCACTGAGGCAAAAAGATTTACAGGTCTTTTCTGATATGACTTAAGTTTTACCAAACTGAGATGTACAGGTACTTCATTAGGATTTTCCTGTAGGCAGTTAAGTTTTGATTAACAACACTTCATTTAGTTAGCTTGCTACGGAAGTAGCTTATTACTTTAATAGAGAACAATACCAAATATTTGAACACATGACCTCATACAGAAAAAAAGTATACCAGCAACAACAAAAGTTCTATTTGGGTGAAGATCAACTATAGTGGCAACTATGATCTTTTACAAATGCAGCCTATATTGATGATGAAGCATGCTTGTAATCTGTGGTGGAAGAACATGACTAGTGGCTCCATTCCTTGGGTTAAGACTTACAGGCTACATAGCTCCATCAGTACTCCGAGCTTGAAATCCTTCTCTGCGGAGACTGTTTAAATCTAGACGCGTTAGAACTTCACAGCGCACCAGAAGGGTATCATCCTTTACGAAGGTTCTTTGTTTCAAGGTTTGCAGGTGCATGAAAGTCACATAACCAAAACCTTTTGGGTTGCGGTGAATTGTTGGTCTCTGGAAGGCTAGTAACTCTGGCTTGGCTTCCATTACTTCTTCATGATTCTGCCTTTCAGGGCCTTCTGATTGATCCAAAATAGAAAGTCGTATAGTGCCTTGGAAAGGCCAAGGCAGATGGCTGTCATACTCTCCTTGCATAGTGTGGACAAACAGAGATATAAAATTAGCACAACGCTGAGCATTTGGTAATTGGATATGCAGGCGCAAACACAGTTTGTAGCCAGGCTTTCCAGTATAGAAGCCAGGACTGTGCATCACAACAGGTCTCTCTTCTTCCTGGGCTTTCTGAAGTCCACTGAAGTTCTCGATCTTCCAGATATAAATACCATTACATTGTTGTGCCTCCATTTCAGTAATCTTTCCCTCCAAATTTCGGATAGTACGTTTGAGTTCTGCCATGTGAGTGTTCTGAGTCTCCATTTTAGCAATGAGTTCTCTGATTTGGTGATCTTGTCTTACCAGACGACCTTCCAACTGCTGAATAGTTTCTTTGAAGTTTTCAACTTCTGGATTGCAATCATATGCGGCATGTGACACGTGTGAGAAGAGCGCAGGCTCAAAGGGTAGGCCATTGATGAAGGGTACAGGATTTGTAGCAGTAACACTGATATTTTGAAAACTCTTAGCCATCATTCTCATGTGAACCTGAGTGAACTCCTGCATATGTCGTGCCAGTTCATTCCTTTGCATCTAGAATTTAAGAGATGTGGCATTAGGAACATATCAAACATCATCTTCAATCACATCTTAAATGTGACTCTGAAGAAAATGAAACAACTAGTTGCTTCTGTTATGTGAGAAAAACTGGAATGTGAATCAAGACCAGGTGATGTGACAAAGTAGCACTTTACCAATGGAAGGCTCCAAATTTAAGATCACTGTTATGACAAATGAAAAAAGAAGTTCAAAAGCCAGTGGGAAAATACTGTTCAACTCAAAATAGTGACATGTTGAAAAAGCTTTAATGATAAACATACATTTAGTATTTCTTCTCTGTTCTAAATCAGCATTGTGTTCCTTTCATTGATTTGCTAAAATGCTCCATAGTACCAAATACAAAGGTGTATGAAAACTGATGCAGAAATGATGAAGGGAGAAGATCCATTTTTAGAAAGAGGTATTAAACAACTAAAATAAGAGTATCCAGATTAAATAATTCTAGAATTTAAGCAAATTTAAAGCACTGTCAGGTTTTCTTCACTGAACTTTAAGAGCCATAACTGTGTTTGGTCACAACTTTGGAAGAAATGCTAGAAGCTACTTTATCGACATGAAAGCTGAGAAAACAATCATGGATTAATAAAAGCAAGTTCATCAAGCAAATAATTCACAGAGTTTTTTAAATTTGTAAAGACCTTTGAAAGACAATGTGTGAACATATAGTGTTTTAGAATTAAGATACCTCAAACCAAAAAAAACCCCCACAAATCACTGAGGATTTGGGCTGGTGAATGAGACGAGAATAGGAGAACACATTGGAAAAAAAAAACCAAAACAACAAAAACATGCAGAAGGTCTGTGATTCATGATTCTGATAAAAGGCTTACCTTTTCAGGACACCCAAAGGCACTGTAAAAACATGGCACTGGGGCAGTAGGACAATCATTGTCATAATGGTTAGGCATCTAAAACAAACCAGATTTGAAATTAATTTTCCATCAAGAGTATTCTTTTGTAACATCATAAAAGAATACAGCTGGATGGACTCTGAATAGGTACCTGAAGTCAGATCAGTTTATACCTATATAATTTCTCAAAGAAATATGGAAGTTTTAAACAAAAATGTTAGCTGATGATAAAAATTCTACATCCTCCTTGTATGTACTTTAACAATTCATTGCCTTTGTTCTTACATTAGGCATCAGAAAGCAGTCGGGTTTTCTTGCTAGAACAAATGCCTTTTGTTTCTAGCCTATCCTTAAGCTAGATCACAGTCCATTTCCTTGCCTTCTGAAGCACTACTTGCATATACTTGTTGTGTCTCTCTTCATTATCCTCTTCTTCAAAAAGCTCAAGTTACTTCAATTTTTCTTATGGTCTGCATTTTCCAGACCTGATTATCTCGCTGTCCTGGATCCTCCCTATCCATCCCCACCTCAAAAGCTGGACAGCTTCAGCTGTGGCCTTATGAGCCCTAAACAGAGCAAAGGATAATTCTGGTTTTCACAGGCAAAATACCTGTTTATACAACCCAGTATCTTTGCCTTGTTTAAGTATCATGATGAAGTCGAACACAAGCTTAATATAGGTCAGCCATTAATTCTAAACCATTACCTAGTTTAGCATTCTCTGTTCTCTATTTTTGCAGTTCATTATTCTACCCAACAACAGATTTTTGCCTTTGTTGTTACTGAACTCAATCCTGTTTTTCAGAGTATTTCTCCAATTTGACAAGATCATTCTCTATTTTAACCCAAGTCATTAACATAGTTGCCATACCATTCAAACAGGGATAGGCTGCAAATTAAATAACATTTATCATTTTCCTGTCAATGAAGTAAGTTATTACTGAATAGAAGAAATAATGGCTATTACAACAGTAACGGACAAGCAGAATTTCAGCTGGCATCTACAGTTTGATAGTAAATTATTTATAGCTACTTTCCAACAGTGGCTTTTCAATTACAAATACTCTCCCTCTCTGCCCAAATCAAAGCCTTGTCTTCTAGTGTCAGCCATAACCCCTGGCAGCTGCTTGGTATTTTTTAACCTCCATTCAAGACCAAAAACATTCAGCATGGCCTCTGTCAAGAAGCAGTATAGCTAAACAATGTGATCCTACAGAGGTGTACCAGGCTGCGATTGCAAGCTGGAGCAGCATTTAAGAGTATTACACCTGCACTGGATGCAACATTTTCAGAGAGACAGACAGGTAGAGATTTATTAGCTAGTAGACAAACCGTTTCTTCAAGTTTAATTTCAGAATAAAGAAGCAACGCAAATGCAAAACATCTGACCCAGATCAAACACAGAGTAAGGTAGTGTCTTACCTGCTCTCTGATGAGCACTGTGTTGCAATATTCACAAAATACATTGGCAAGTGGGCAGGTTTGGTCATGGAGCTTAGTTATCAAATAGAAAAAGAGAGGAAAGAAAGAATCAGTAAAGTTATACAATTTAAAAGAGTGCTAATCACCTCTAGTAAGGCGTACGATTTTTATTTACATTTCAAATTTTGCATTTAGCTGTGAAACAAAGACAATCCCCTTACCCTGAATAGTATGTTTTCTACAATTACTGTTTTTTCCTGGACCGATACAAGAGATTCATAAAGTTGCAGCTATTTTACTTCCTAAAGCTCTTCTGCTCCAAAGGAGTTTATCCAGCTGTTTCTGAAATTCATGTTCAATTGTAGTGGAACTATATTAAAGGTTTCTTTTGTATTGTTGGACAATACAGGACAATATGAGGTATTTTTGTTTGACAATTCATAATATGATATCGTAAAATTAATAGCCCTTGAGATAAAACACATCCATATACAGATAAAGAAATGGAAGCTCAAAAAGAGAAGGACTATCCTCAGTATCACCCAAGTGAAAAATGCAGAGCCAGGAGAAGAATTCAGAAATGATCTTGGTCTTGTGTGTTAGCAGATATCCCCAAAAGATGCATCTCCTGACACATCCTTTCTGCCAGGCTTAAAAACTGTAAATATAAATACTGTTATGGGTGTTACTTTGGCAGTAGATACTGGCCTCTGTGTTGGTAAGGCCAAAAATCAATGGTTCTTACACAGGTCTTTTCACACCACAGTGTTCCCAAGAAGTTTGTATTTAAGCACAATCCTCTCCCCAGCTTTCACCTGTTCTAGACTAATGTCCTGAGTTTGTAGGTTCTCACCTGTGCAGCACAAAGAGCTCTTCTAGACCAAAACCTTTTTTTTTTTTTTTTTTTAAAAAACTGATGTTCCATTTACAAGCAAACCCATGTGAATGAAGGTTGAAATAACAGAGATGCCTGCTAAGTACCTCTTTATCTTCATAGGCCATAGATGTGGCACAGTTTGGACAACAGACTTGACGCCTTGGACACTCCTGTGTCATATGCTCTTTCAGATGGTTCTTCTGGAAGGCTCCTTGGCACTGCGGGCATTCCACAGCGGAAAAATCACACTGCAACTGATGGTCCTGAACAAGGACAAAAGAGGTATTTGATACAACAAACAGGTAATATCGTCTCATCTGTTTTCAAGATAAAGCACAGTACAAGAGGAACAAACTGCAACCTTTCCTTCATGCAAGCAAATCCTTACACACTTACGCTGACTTTACCAATGGCCTGTTATTGTCCCATTACTAAGATCAGGACTTCATGTATTCAGAACTTTAAGAATGCTCTCAGGTAAAAATTCAGCTTTGTGTTTATCCTTTTAACTTCGTGTATTATTTTCCAAAACAATTATTTCAACTAATATATCTAGCTGCTTTGAGGGAATATTTAACTGACTTTAGGGAACTTGTGTGAAGTACAGATACAGCTGATCAAAAGACAAACATGAATGATCCTAAAGAGAAAGCTGCATTAGTACAATTTTCATGCACTATGATGTTCACTTGAGAATCACCTAATTACAGTTAGAGACTTATCAAAAACCAAATACGTGTAGCTGCAGTCTTGAGTGAACAACACATTGAATCAGCATAAACACATATCGGATATGACCATCTTTGTTAAGTCATTTTGAATTTTACTGGTCCATGAAAACAAGGTTCCACATTTTCAAAAGTAATTCTCACCTCTAAATGCCTCAGCTCCATCTTCATACCGCAGCCCTTGTTGGGACACTTAACCATTAATGAAAGGATTTCCCGTTTAGCGAAGTTGTCAGGAAAAAGTTGATTTTCGAGCAGAATTTCATTGTCTACCGGACATTTGTGACCTGCATCTCTACAACACAGAAAAGCAAGGAAAAAGAGACTCCAAGTTTCCTTTACCCTTCATTTAAAATATTTTTACACTAGCAAGACATTAGTGGCCAAATTATAACATATTAAGAAAGTCTTTGAAAAAAATGGTATTTACATGGCAATTACCAGAAAGAATACAATGTACATCAGAGAAACTGACAATACACAAGTTTCACTAGAGGTGGCACAACTGGGATCACAGCACTTTCCTAACTCAGTAGTTTTTTATTTGGACAAATGCCATGATAGATACTCTGGAAATAAACTTGAGGAGGATGTAAAGAAACTAAGAACTTACGGGCCTTTTTCTGTAAGTACTTCACATAGCTCAAACATCAAAGAATATTTCACATACTATTTCAAAACAAACCTTCAAAGATTCTTGGACCTTCTCTCCTTTCTTTCTCACTTTATAAACAGCCAAGGGGATCATAGCTGAGAGAAAAAGCAAAAAAACGCCTTTTTTTTTTTCCAGGTTCACTTCATCTATTTGGCATTACTTTTCATATAACTCATTTCGCTGTTTTTGTTGTACGACCATTTGATCAGCTGGTCATCCTTCAATTTGTCCATTTATACAGCAGTGTTAAAAAAACTCCAGATGCAAAAATTACTAATAACTATGAAAATTACCCTGGATTTGGAATTGGGTGTTGTATCTGAAGCCATTTTAACAGCAGACAGACGAAGTCAGTGCTAACTGGCAAAGTCTGGAGTCTGATGGTGGAACACGAGTGCATGCAACTTGCACAAGGGAACTAACAGCCTGTTCCACTTTGTCTCATTCTGTCCACCTACATTTAAACACAAGAATCATTAAAAATGGAGTTAAAAAGGGATCTCCTCCACTAAATTTTCCTTTAAAAAAATATCCAGTATCAGCTCATTTCTGAAAGCAGTAGGTCAACATATCTATTCATAATTAAATAATACAGTTAAAGAGGCATGAGGGATCAAAGCTTCTGAGCTGAAGTGCTAATGGAAACAGCAATAAAATGGAAAAATACATGGGGCGGAAAAATGTCAGAGAGCACTTGTGGTGCAAAGATCAAAGGCCAGATCATTGTCACTGCTTGCAAGCATGAGGGGAAGTAGAACCTAGTGGGCTGTAGAGACCAGGAGGGAATTTGTGTTCTTTGCTGGAGAAGGAAATAATTGCTCAGCAAGTCCTTCATCAGCAATGCTGCTAGAGGAAGTGGGGGTAAAGCTGAGACTTCAAGAAGAGACAATGAACTTCCTTTCCTAGGTTTTGCTTGCAAGAGCTAACTCACCACAAGCCTGAGTGTCATAATCCTAAACAAATGGAAAAAAGAAAATACCTAGCGTGCCATTTTGTTTCAGAGCTCCCTAAGCTATGATCAGTGTGTTGATCTTGTGTCACAACCCAGAAACGTTCCCTCGCTTTGCAGGCAACGTACAGGAAATCAGTTTTCAGAGGTATAACTTGGTTACAAATACCCTGTTTAATGAAGTATAATGATAGTTCAGTAGGCCTGCTGGTAAGACAGCAACCTTATTTCTACACAGAAAAGCTAATAATATATAATAACAGACAACAACAGATTAATTTTAAATAATGATTACCAGATCCCCGGTTTAAGTAACTAGCAGACAAAGACTAAAATAAGAATGAATGGCAATTTTCCAATTATTATAGTAAGGAAAGAGCAATAACTTATTGTAGTAGATTAAACAGACTTCAAACACCATTTACAAGTATTGGGACTGTGTTTTAAAGACTGCTTAGATCCATCTACAGACAAAGATGTTGCTATACATTTCCTACGACAGAATTGAGTTTATGCATCTCAGTTCTAATTTACATTACAGAAGAGGCTTTCCTATGCTGGAATTATTTATCACATTAGGCTGTGCCACGCACAACAGTACCTGTGAAACAATAACCATCTGCTACAAAGTACAATGAATATTCCTATAATTTCCCTTGAAATTAAAATATAGGTATGAAAAGTAAATCCGGAAGAATTTTGTGTAAAGAAAAAGCCTGCTCCATGATTTTAGCAACGGAGCAGTTTAGCCTGGAAGCTGAAACAGTTACATACACTGTGGCATACACTTTAACTGCAGCCATGCCGGCTGCTTGATGAACTGCTAGCACCCAGATCTTTCCTTGCTGCCCCTTGTCAGCGCATAATTCTGCTTTTCCAATAAACAGAGGGTATGATATTTGGTGAGTTCTACTACAAGCCCTAAGTCACCTTTGATCTAAGATACCCGAGAAGAAAAAATAGAGTGAAATTTAATTAGCTACTGCATCTGAACTTAGTTCTTCTAAAATTTCTAATCAAGCATGTTGTAAACAGTAACATTTGTAAACTATTATTTGTAGTTCTACTTCAGTAGATAAGCTTCTTCACTACATGACTCATAGCACTTCAAAGCACTTCAGACAGCTTTATTTAAAAAGATGCCAAGACTTTCTGGGAGGCAAACATTTACCATGATCAAATCCATCTGGTCTAATCATGTCCCTCACATTGTAAGATCTAAGACTCCAGTCTTTAAAAGCTTTTTAAAAAATCCTTCTAGTGTCAGCCACAACTTCTGCAACATGGACAACTACAATTGTTTTTGTAGAGTGACAAGAAGCAATTAGTCAAAAACTGCTTGTCCATCCTTTATCATTTACAATTCTTAATCTCTGTGTTCACTTGAGCTAGACAGTGAGGAAATGAGGAATAAAGAGAAGCATTTTTTCCTGATCAAATAAAGGCTGTGATAGTCACTTACTGAAAAAAAAAGAGTACTCAGAGAATGTAAAAAAAAAAAATCACTTTCCATTTTCATTTTAGTTCTGTAGAAGCTTCTTGGTGACATCAATCAACATTGTACTGTAGACATTACATACTCCAAATCAATATTGTACTGCAGAGACTACATACTCCAAATCAATAGCTTCATCCATGGATCCCAATTAAGCATGCAATTCAGCCCTTCAGGTATTCAGAGGGGTCTGGCACTTCCAAGTTGTCTGCTCCGTTTTCACAAGCATTCACTCAAACTTTACTCCAAAGACAGAGTTCAGTGGGGAACGAGGGAAAACATTTACTATCAATGAAACACTTGAAATACCAGGGTGATCATCTATAGTCTCCAAGATGAAAAATGCTTTCCACCTGTGTTTAGTATTCACTGGAACAATCAACACTATCTACAGAACTGAAGGAAAATAGAGAAAAGGTGTAAAAGAAGCAAAAGCTTCTGGTCATTGAAACTGTTTGCAGACTCTAAAACTTTGAGCAGAGCAAGTGCTCTGTTAATTTAAAAAGGAAGAGAAACCATTTCCCATGCCTGGGGTTTAAGAAGGAAGTTTCTCTACCTGCTAAGAGATGTTGCGTTCTGAGCATGGGTTCACTGCAGTTCCTCACTCAGTCCTGTGGTAAATTCTAACCAGTGACCGTAACTGTGCAGCTCATCAGCAGAAGGATTAGAAAACAAGATCACCTTAGCTGTTAAGGATCTGAAAGACTGGAAATGAGACACCCATTTTTGGTCATTTTAAGTTTAGTCACTTTCCCCTCAGTTTTCAACCTAGGAATTCTGTTTTCTTTGAAATGAGTGGTGAGCAGACATTCCTAAAGCTCAGTATACTTAAGTACTGACTAATTTACCTTCAGGACTTATAGACATCATACTCCCGTGAAAAGGTTTAAAGATTTCTTTTCTTCCTTCCAGAAACACCAAAGGTAAAGAAGAGTATAAGAACTTCTACTGCCAAGAAATACAGCAAGCTCAGAGAGAAAGCAAGTAAGGAATTCGAAAATTTAATGGCCTTTATTAGTACAAACATCTATTTCAAGGCTTACAAGCATGCATGAAATTATGTACATTAACCTCTTGAAAGAATTTAGGTTGAATGTGCAAAGCAAAGGCCAGAAAGTGAAGCCAACTGCATGTGCCTAGGCAACTGGATTACAGTTAAAGCTGACAGGTTCAGGTTTGGGGTTTTTTTGCCTTCTTCCATGCACCTGGCTGATGTGAGTACCATTGAGTGATGCAGCTGGGCAAGGCCTGATGTACTTTTCTTGCAGAAGTAGGAACATAGTGAACGAGGCAAGGGACTAAGGGAGGAGGGTGATCTCATGGTATGGTTAGTGGACAACTGAATATGTCTCAGCTTCCTCTGCAGAATCCACAGGTGAGTCACTTTTCATGGATGAAAACTGGTGGTATTCTGCATTTTCTGGATAATGAATTTGCATCCTTTTCTCAGAAATATTGATGAAACTAATGTTAACAAGAACTGTGCTGCAAACACACACAATAAATTTCTATGCTTGCTAGAAAGGAAAACAGCCTCCTCTTCTGCTATCATAAGTAGGGAACGCAAAATTAAATTTGTCTTCTCATACTCGGCTCCAACATTTCCCTCCTTAATCTAAAAGGGATGCCATGAAGAAATACAGTAGCATCAGATACAACAACGACAAGCTACAGAGAAGCCCACAAACCCCTGTATTCAGAGAACATCATTGCTGGCATACTATTCATTTAGTGAGCTACAAATGATGGACCATGGAGAAAAAGAAATGGCATAGAAATATGGATAAATGCTACGGAAAACCAATCAAGAAAGCACTATCCATTTTGCATGCTAAAAATAAATGCTTGGGAAAAACAACATTGTATGGTAACATTGAAGACAGTTTGATGACCTTTACACAAAGGTGTGCAAAGTAAGGTTGGAAATCAGCTAGTTCTATGTGTGGGTCACACAGATTTAAATATTCAGATCCCTACCAAAGTACTGTGACATTTGAGCTAAGTGAGTAATTGATAAGAAAAAAATCTGGCTTATGCTGAGAAGGAAAAACCCTACAGCATATCTAGCCTTCTATCAGTGTGTTCCAATACTCACTGACACATGTGGGACACTGATGACTGTATGCCAGGTTTGAAGGAAGTATGCTCTACCAGTGTACTTTCTGCCCTTCCTTGCTCTTTCAATCATTCATTTTTATGAGCCCAGCCTGTTCTTGCCTTCATATCTCATTCCCATTCCCCCATATGCCACCTAGTTTCCTCTCTCAATGCTTTGTTCGAGACTATTCCCTCATTACATTCTCTCTTCCAGCTCAACAAGGAAGCAGCTGATTTCAAGTGAAGAACTGAAAGCATGAATTGCTGTATGTGCATCAAGGAACCGTGCTGTCTGTAGTTGCCTGTAGTTATCAAGAGAAACAATCATAGGGAAAAGACAGGTTTTATAATCCTGGGCTGAAAAAGGAATTTATTTGGAGGATTTGGCTACTACTTTAAAATTATTACTTAATGTTTGTTCAATCAGATTTTTTATATTCATAACCTTGGTAAATTTGTATAAATGTCAAATTATCTAAAGCTTATGGAACCTCCAAACTCATGACATTTTGGCCATACGTGGTATTTATTAGAAAGCATCTTTAATGAATTCTAAATTCCCAGAGTTCTATTAGCACTCACTGGTAATGCACCTTAAGCAGTTCTATTCAGTTTACATTGCCCTTAAACTGCTCTGCCAACTTCCATAAATTTTCCTTTACCTTATTGATTTGACAATGCAGCCTTTGCAGAAACGGTGTCCACACGGTGTCTGCACTGCTTCCCGAAGAGCCATCAAACAGATTGGACATTCATATTTACTTTCCAAGGGTGGATCAAACTCTACATCATATCCTTGTGTTTCCTCTGTGAAAGAACTTGGAGGGTTTCCAGTCCCACTGCTGACGCTTACGCTGTCTTCTTTCGCTCCAACGCTGCAGGCACTGGCCATGGCTGCACAGCAGCCGCTTTCCACGTCTCGAGCTCCACAACTGTTATCACTATATAGCAAGCTCATAGTAGCTAATCAAGTGCTACACAGAAATGCTCTGCAAGATGACAAAAAGATGCATTACTTTAAAATATTCCAAGACCTTCCTTTCCAATCAAGAACAAATTTTATTTCTGACCAGAAACATTGGAACAGTGGCGCAGATTTGGTTCTACCCAAAATCACTAGTTTTGTTTTTTCCTGGTTTTTGTTATCTATCTTTTTTACTTATCTTGTAGTATATAGAAAAGAGCACTGCATCCTGTCAGCCTAGTTCAAACACAAATACACACACCTTTCTGTAATCTCTTTCATCTGACTATCTGATTTCTGTAAAAAGAGGAATACTCTTTCTTCTTGTTATGTTTACTGAAAATGCCTCTCTACCCCGTCAGTATTATTTACTTCTAAAGCATTCAAATATCATTTGCATGAAAAATGCTGTACAAAACCAAGTTTTATTGGATGACAATAGCTCAATTCCGTATTTTCCTTGCAGTTAATAAATGTTATTTAACATTTTCTGTATACAGCAATTGACAGTATAAGTTTCAAATCAGTTTAGGTGCATGTCCACAAATAAAATGCAAGTCCAAGTACCCACAAGCAGATGCTGTGCTGCAAATGAAATTCAAATATACAGCACTGCTGATAACATTTTAAAACTGCCAATAGGACTTCAAATTGAGTAAGCAGCTAGACATGAGATGAGGCTAATACTTCTACAGCTCAAAAGCTATCTACAAACTACTAGTACTCAGAGTTCTTGCTCTCCTTTCCCTCTTCCAGTCTAGCCAGTGCGGAGGACAAGGGACACGACTGTAAGAACAGAAGATAAAAGTCACATTTCCATGAAGAGCGGTGAATGGCGTAGTGAAGTCTGCTTTTAAAATGCTCACAAAGCAGGTTGAACTCCTGGGTATGAAATTAAAAAAAAATGCTGGTATCCCCAAACAGATTGCCAATGTTTCTACATTGAATGAGGGAACTTTAAAGAAAGGTCTAAACAACAAATATAAATTTTTAAAGTCCAAGAAATTTTCCTCTCCTGCAATTTTTTAATGGTTACAGCCATTTTCTTAGAATCCCACTGTGGTTAGTTTTCTATAAATGACATTTCTTTGAAACACAGAGGGTATCACCAGGTGCAAGGCAGTATTTGTAGGCTGAGGTTTAAAGAGCCAGGCATGCACAACGAGCCCACTAAGCCCAGATTTGATCTTCTTTTGCACAGCTGTATAGGCAAAGGTCTCTTCCAATGTTCATGTACTGCATTCACTGTAATACCATTACACCATTCAAAACATATTAGGGATGGAAATCTAAGGATTAAACAAAAGCTGAACTGTAATGATTGTTGATCCGCATCACTACTGCGGACTCCAAGGGCAGCAAGGGGCGCAGAATGAATAGGGTTACCTTGACCACAAGCTCATAAACCTGAACTTTTTCCTGCCTCTCTCAGAATTTAACATCACAAGTCATTTTAACAAAATGCTCATGGGTAGGAGGACATACAGGTAGTTTTATTCGGGTACTTATTTTATGACACCTGAAGATTACATCAATGGAAATACTACTCACACAAAGCCTCAACTAGCTTTTACTGGAAACATATCTTGAACACATGCAACAGTACAGAAATGTGGTTTAGGCCATCTACATGGTAATTAGCAATACTGCCTAAGCTAACAGTGTACGAGCTGGTTTTTTTCCAGTTATGCACACACACAAAAAAAAGGCAGATCTACCAAACAAAACCAAACAGGCAGTTACCATATTGAGGTCAGTTACAGCTAGAATCAAAACAGAACTTTTATTCTGTTGTATAAATATGTGACTTTCCATTTTGTTGAGGTACGCAGAGGTGTGAGAAGTATCTGAGGAGTAGACTTCCTGACATTTCCAAAATACCATTAAGGTACAGAGTCTCAAAGCACAGTTTGGCAGCTAAGAATTGTACTGAACTGGTCAGCAATGCTCACTTTATGCAGAAATAACTCTATAGCAGAGCAGTCTGGAACCACATCCAAGGAGTGGTGTTTACTTCTGTTCCTGTTCTCTGCCACCATGTATTATCCCTATACATTATCTACCACAACAGGCTTTATAATCAAGGCTCCTAAACACAACAGCAGTAAACACTAAACACCAAGTAAATTCTCAGCGGTTGCTTCAGGCATAGTCCAACAACGATCAATTTAACCCCATGGAACTGAGCAATTCCCCCAATGACTTGGAATGGAAGCAGAAGAATCAATGCTTAGAAAGATGGTCTGTGACAGAAAGATTTTTTTAGATTGCCATTGGTAGGTCTCTTTTCTCTGGAGCAAAAAAACTTGTTTCATTGTTAAACTAACATAACTTCTATTTAACAGCTGCTGCAGAGGATGATTAGTCCACAGGCCACCTTTCACAAAAAATCACAGGAACTAAGTTGGGCCAATGGAGTGGGAATGTTGGTATACAGGATATTAGAATCTACAGACCAGCCTAGGACTGAAAAATTCACATTATTCTAAGCCACAAGGGTATATTTAGTGAGACTAAGAAAGGGAAGAGGAACATATATCCCTTTAGCAATGTCACAAAGGAATTCAGGAAGTCGCAAGGAGGAAAATATAATAGCTCTACCCAAATTCAGCTGTCACGTTAATTGCAAAGAAGCGCGCGACTCTTCCCTTGGGGTGTTGCTAGGAAAAAAACATACTATTTGAAATATTGTTCTTATAAGGAAGAAGACAGGATCTGACAGTATAATCTCGATAGTTGAACACTTCGTAGATTTAATTTCTGTGCAAGTGGTATTCTCTTTGCCCATTTAAATTGTTTCTACAGACACAGCAGGTATGTACATTCAGTTTACAGAAAGAAAAATCCTGTACCAGACTCATTTTAATGAGTGAGTCACTACAACCAGTCAACATCCCAGCCTCACACAAACACCGCCTTATTCAGTGATACACTCCACTCCCACACAGAGCTTTTTGTCTGCATATGACCAAGGGGTTCATTAAAAAAAGAAGTGCAAGTATCATTGGCTCCTCTTTTTAAATAGGGAAATTCAGACACAAAGATGCAACTTAAACGAGGTGATTAAGAGCCACATTTTAAATTTTGTTCATGTTTTATACAAGATACAATTTCTCCTACAACTCTTATCCATTTCATCTTATCTGTGAGGAAAATCCTGCGTCCTCCACACGTATTTAGAGGTGTGGGACAAGGCACAACTTTCCAAATCAAAAGCCACGCTGCTGTTACTCAGACCACTAATTGAGGCGTGATTACTCCACCACAGTTTAAAACAATTCCTCTACAAGTTGTAACTACTATAGTAGGAATTAGTTCTGTTTCTTGTGGCACTTATTTTATCCTCCAGAATAGGAACATAGATTCAATCTTCTTGATCGGAGCAGTGCTAGAGGAAAACCAATTAGAGAAGAGCATACTGTGAATGTTGATGACAGGTCTTTCCCTTGATGAAGGTGGAGCAGACAATTTGTGGGCCTACTGTAGTAGGTTTTTTTGCATGTTCCTCCCCTGGGGAATTTAAAAGATTTTGAGGCTAGAAGAGGATGTATTTTAAAACCCAAACCAGTATATATCCCCAAATTCACATCAAATTGCTACCCTTTCTTTTTGATTACAAAATAGATTACCAGTGAAGTAAAACCTAACAAACATCCCCCCAAAACCACATCAGTTTTTCTTTACCCTATTGATGATAGTTGTTATTCTTCCTCTGTGCTGAACAAAACTGAGTCAAATACAACTACAACAATATGCAAATATTAATTTATAATAACTTGTCTACACCACAGCCTTTAGAATTTATCATTTTTTTTGATGTCGGTAGTTTAATACATTAAACACTTTGGTAGCCTGCTCTATGACCTTTTTTGTTTGGACAACATCCAGCTTTCAGATTGAGGAAAAACGGAAATTAAACTGGATCATTACATGGTAATTCTTGTTTTTGCTAGTGTGAAGTTTCTCAGGCAGAGAAAGTCTTAAAACTCTGTTTGGTAAAGCACCTGAAATGCCCTTTTCTAGAGCTAGGAAGTCCTATCAGACTTGCACAGTAGATAGATAACGGGTTTTAGCTTGCACACACAAGGTACCCAAAGTCCTTGGGCCAGAAAAGGTTGATTTCTCTCTCCAAGGCAACAGCTATATTGTTTGACAACAGAAAGGAAGGTGCTTTCCAGGCCAAATGGTAATGGACGGAATTTGTTTGATCTTTATTTGTGCTGCAGAAACCTGGAATGCCCTAAGGATCAAACCTTCACGCCCCAGAAGAGACACAGTTAAGACCACAGGGAGTCCCCATAATACCCTTCCCACTTTAAACCCTAACAAAACCTTTCTCCACTAAGTAACCTGTGCTAGGTTGCTATTTACGCTGTTGCATTACAAAGGGATTAGGTTGATCCGAGATAGCACAGTCAGACCAAACGAGCAAACTCCTGCAAGAATCATGTACCTTATGATTGACAAAAACAATTTCAAAACAATTAAAAACCACCCACATTTTAAATTAACGCACACAACAAAAGTCAGTACTCTGATTCATAGAGTCCCATAATATAATGGGGTTTAGGTAGGACTTCTACAGATTTTCATGCTCCAAAGAGCCGTGGGATTAATCCAGAAACTTCTCTAAATCAAAAAATATTACTGGTACCAGAAGATATCTTCAGATTGCCTGGAAAATTACACCATAATTAGAGTAATAGGGAGGAAATAAAAGTAGGCATTGTATCCTATATACACTGAAATATGAAATGATACCTTTGAGCATTTGGCAAAGGTGAAGGAACACTGAACAGAGAGGCTTATCAATTACCATGAAATAGAAAGTTTTGAGTATTAATCAGTAAGTACTGAATATAATTAATTTCCACATGCCCTTTCATAGAAAATTCACACTAAGTAGCTATATAAGGAAATCAATACAGAATACTATTCCAAATCCCTTTTCTTACTTGAAGTTCACAAACATAATTAATCTGCTTGCAGCCTGGCCAGCACACAGCCAGCAGTGGAAATGCCTTCAACGCCGCATGGACAGAAAAACTGGCCAAACTTTTTGCTTTTCTTTTTCTGCCTCACTGAGAACAGTTTTGTACCTACAGATTTCTGGGGCATGAGACTGACAGACCAGTGGAGTAACTTCGGATAATTTGTTTGTGAAGCAATACTTGCAACACTTATTCCCAGGCATTTTAATCAATGGTCTACTGACAAGTGATAAGCACTGTGTGTTTACATTATGAGGTTTGCAACTATTATCACTCTGGTCTCATCCAGGCAGAACATATAAAATGATGCAAGTTCCTTTTAATTAATACCTATGAAACACTTTCATTTCAAAGCTATCAAATGGCTAGACAAGCCAAAGCAATAGGAGATTCAGGCAGAACTCATAACTGCAAAAAACAGATTCTGGTTTCTTGAAAAAGCCTGCAAGCATGTTGCAAACATTTGTCGAGATATCAACTGGTTTTTTTCCTAATAGCAGTAACTGTTAAGACTTCCAAGTCTTTTGGTTAACCACTATACTTATCATTTTAACTTGTGAACCAAAAGACTTAAAATAAGAATTTTTGTTTGAGGCAAATACAATCGAACAACAACATTAAAAGCTCATTAGACACTATCGAGAGCTCCTGCCGCTGGAGCAGAGCAGCCTTTGGGGGTTTCTGAAGCTTTCCAGGTGATTTCTCTTTGCTTGGAGAGAATGCTGTCAGGCTTTAATCACGTATGTATTTTTATGCTTAAGTGATACTTAAGAGACTAGATGGTGGCATACTCCCAGTTATGTTCATATTTTATCCTACTTAAGTATGGCAAAACAAATTTAATTTTAGTGAGCAGTGGAAGTGCACTATACTGTATTTAACACCAAAATATTCCATGGGTTTTTTCCATAATCAAAAAACCAACCCAAACCAAAATCCCCCAAACCTTTCTTCAATTTACTAACTTCTAGAGACATTTCACTGGGAATTGTTCAGATTAACAAATACAAGGAAAGCGTCGTTAGTGAAAAGAACAATACTATTTAATTCTTTACTTTGGCAGAGACTCTGCTCTCTTTGGCCTCTGCTCTCCCTTTGCACACTGAGAACACTTTGAGATATGCATTGTGCCTTTCTATATCCCTCAGTAGATCTGCAGAGAATTTAAGATTCTGCCATAATGGAGACAAAGTAAACATGAGGTCAGAAAGTACTTCGAAAAGAGGCAGCAAGAAGTATGGCTATGAACAAACGTCATTTCCGCAAGGCACAGTCTCCAGGCTAGATTTAATCACCATCTACCTCAACAAGCATTAGGCTTGAATCTGGCATTAGTAAAATGATTTGAGACCCTGGGAAAAGAAAGAGTGAATTAAGCACACATTCTGAAACAACTAAAACACTTCTCCTCGTGACTCTACCTTACTTTTACTTTAATTTTCTTTTTGACTTGCTTTATACCCAGAATCTTTTACTGTTAGTTTTCACAGTCTGGATCTAAAACTTTTTAATTTTTGTTTAGCTCATTTGTGCTACTGAGATACAAAAGTTACTCTTCCTGACATATTAAACTTATGAAAGTTCAATAAGTGAAGAAAAAGCATGTTCACCTCAGACGTTTTTTCATTCTGAAGGTCTATCAGCATATCTATTGCGTGCATCGTCCTTTTAAATACAGTAGCACATTTTTTGAATAGAAAGCAGTATTGCAGTGAGGCAATACTACAAAACTTAAGAAGCCATTTATGTCTTGACAACTTCTCATTCAATGGAGCCTGACTGAGCTCCACAAATCTTTAGCTGCTGGGGAAAACTGAAGGTAACGTGGAACACGCTGAAGAATTACGCTCAAAGCGATACCTGCCATGGGAATGATCCAAGTGCTTTTATCAGCATGCTTCTGTGACCTTTTTTCCTTCTGACACTAGTGGGACTAGTTTTATGGCCCTTTCATACTATGGAAAGACAAAGCAGTTGGCTTGCAAGTGTTAACGCAGTTGGTGAACACAGGGTAGAATGCACTGGAGATGTTAAAGAAGCTGTTAGTGCAGGCAGTAACTTTGTGTCCCGTCCCGTCCCCCCCGCCCTGTTCCTTTTCCGACCTCTCCCTCACCAAAAGCTTCAAATCAATACTTTCTTAATCATTCTGTCAGTGGTATATAAACTACAACAAAACCCACACAGCTCATGGGTAGCTCTGCAACACGCAGAACTTTTCAGAGGCAAACATGGAGAAATATTTTTGCCTAGCGTTAACTACTGGGTATGAGGGATATAATTAGAACACTTTCCTCCCACCTACAGCCGAGATTTCCGTTTAAGTATGAAAAGACTTGGTGTGAGCTATCTAAACCAGATGAAATTGATGGAAAGCACTGTTGAAGTCGTAGCTTATTACTCGTGTTAATAAATTTGCCATAAATATTAAGTACCGCCAGTTTCTGGCAGAAAATAGAGCTACCGGGTTTAAAAACAGTAACCTCTCTTGCAAGTGATCCTTACAGGCCTTTAACATGCTCCCGAGGAACTAATCGAGTACCTCCATCTCACCGCTGGAAAACCAGCGCCGAGCCCGGCTTTTTACAGCGGCGTACTCGAGGCCGCGCCGGAGCGAACGCCCGGGAGCGCCCCTCGGGAGCTGCCCG